TGTCACTTCAAATAGCCAAACATCATTTATTTATATATATTTTTAAAAAGACAAACCTATAAATCTAATACAATCCAAAAAGTAATATTTAATATAGTCTTTCCCCAGTCACCTAACTCAAGTAAACCAAACCTCATTAATCTCACAGGGCAGTACAGTTGTAGACCTGGTATATACATGAATTCTCAAAAATTGCATATTGAGCTTTACCATGAAGTACAGAATGTAAATAACTAGCCTGTGAAGTACTCATTTAAGAAAGTAATCTCTGCTTGATTTAATAAGCTATGATGTATTTCTTTTGTAAGAATATCCAATACAGAAAAGATTATAGACAGTAATATTCAGTGCATGCACCTCAACTTCTCTTCAATATCTCACTTCCATGACCATTATTTCATACTTTGCCCTAAACTAGAACTATTCCATCTTAAAACTAAGGTTCAATACACTATTTTCATGTAACACTTTCAGTCTTTCTAATTCTTTCATTTTTTTACTAAATTATTCTTATGCCTTAATAAAATTTTCAATCCTTTGATCATCTTTTCTTTTCTCTCCAAGCTATCAGCCATTCCCCTCCCTCTTCTTTACACAACCTGAGCTAAGTGGTCCATCCCATCAATACAATGTGAGACACCCTTCTCAGCACTTTGCCTTTCAGACACAAAATCCTGCAAGTCTTCAACCCTGCCTACTCCCCGTTACAAACATTCAACAGTCTTCTCAAACCACCCTTCCGTTTTATTTAATCCTTCCCCTTAGATTATAGAACATGTCTTCTTGAGACTGGTAAATAGTTCCTGCTACCTAGATACTTGGAGCTGGCCTGGATCCAGCCCATTTCCAGGTGTGGTTCTCCAAGCTTCCCATAAATTCTGTAGGATACTGATATCCTTCTACTACATTACTTTGTTAATCAAAGTCCATTTGTAGACTCCACCCTAGATGCCACCAGCACACTCTCCCTTCACCACTACTGTCACCAATTCAATTGTAAAATTAAAATGTTTAATTTTAATTTAGACATTGCCAAATGATCCCTAAGGGGAAAATCATCCCTGGCTGAGTTTTAAACTATACAAAGACTCCTCTGCAAGTAAAGCCTCTTTCTTCTACCAACTCCCACTCTTCAATAAACCTTGATCCTACCATAGCATGCCCTAGGCTTGAAAACCAGGGGGTGGAGAGGAAGGAGGGTTATTTGTGCTTGAATCTTCCCTATCCCCTTTCAGGTCCTGGCTTAACAACACTCTATCTTCACACCCTGCACGTACACACACACACAAACACAGGAACAGATATGAGGCCCTGAACTGCAAGGTCACTCCTGCTCTTATTTCCTTTCTTCTATCTGTTAGAACTTTTCTTTAGAACTCTCCATTCCCTGTAAAAGGGATGGGGGCTGGGGGGGGGGGGGACAGCAAACAACTTTCCTAGACAAGCCCCCAAAATGTTGTCTCTGTTCTTGCAGTTCCAAAAAACTCACTGCCAATTTCTCTTTAGTAGGCTCTTCCTGTTTCATTTCTCTTAAAGTGTAATTATTCCTACCCTCCCCCCAACACACACACACACACACACACACACACTCCTTATTCTAGTTCCAATTCAGTTACAAACATACAAACTTTTTATTAACAAAGCAAGAGAAGCTTGGGATACAACTAAACAGGCAAGGAACAAGTTCGGCATTAACTTAAAGCATTTGTCAATCTCTTGAAAACAATTCCTCTCTCATATTTTTACGAGATTCTAGCTTCTCAAGTCCCTGTATCTGGAGAATGCTGATTTTAATCTTGCAATGTCACCAGACTTGTACCTCAGGGCTCATAGTGAGCATTCTCTTTTTCTTCTTGCTTCCCAGATAAATACTCTTCTTCCTTACTGGAAGACTCCCTACATAGTCATTTTCTAAGTCCTTCATTTCCAGGACACCAAAGGCACTCAACGATTCAATTACTCATTACTTCCTAAAATCAAAGTGGCCATACCCCAAATCTGTAATAATAGTGGCAGGCAATCTTCTCTCAGTGAAAAAGAATAGCTGTGTGAGGACGAGTTTGCTCATCTGTGCCATTTATCCATTCATTCAGTAACAAATAGTGATTGGGTGCCTACTTTCTGCCAGACTCACAAAATGTCCCACCCTCATGGAGTTTACATTCCAGTGGAGAGAGACAAACAACAAATAACTGAATATACATTATGGCAGATAATATTAAGTGCTTTGGAAAAAAATAAGGCAAGCCAGTAGGACAGGGAGCAAGCAAGATGAGGGTTCACAATATTAAACTGTGTGGTCTGGGGAGGCTTCTCTGAGAATATGCCAGACTGCATCCACTGGCCATACCTGTTACTGGAAGGTAATATATTGGAAGGTTACTTATTAAACTGTATTCCAAATCATTATGTAAAAAGTGGAGCTCTGGTAGCATAATGCCTAAAGCACTTGACTGCTAACCGAAAGGCTGGAGGTTCAAACCCACCAGCCATTCCTCGGAAGGTTGGGCAATCTACTTCCATAGTGATACTGCCTAGGAAACCCAAGGAGGGGTCACTATGAGTCAGGTCCGACTCAACAACACATAACAACAACAACAACACGTAAAAGGAACTCTGGTGGGACAGTGCCTAAGACATTTGACTGTTAACCAGAAGATTGTAGGTTCAGACCCGTCAAATGCTCCAGGAAGGAAGATGGGGCAATCTACTTCCATAAAAATCTACTACCTTAGAATCCCAACGGGGGTCACTGAGTCAGAATTAGCTCGATAGCAGTGGGTATGGTTTTTTTTTTTCCCCTGGTATGAAACGGTGATTAAAGCATTCGGCTGCTAACCAACAGGTTGGCAGTTTAAATCCACCAGCCACTCTGCTCCGCCACCAGCCACTCTGCTCCGTAGGAGAAAGATGTGGCAGTCTGCTTCCGTAAAGATTTACTACCTTGGAAACCCTATGAGGCAGTTTTACTGTGTCCTATAGGGTTGCTCTAAGTCAGAATCGACTCCACAGCAATGTGTACGGGTTTACAGTGGCATCTTCAGTCCCAGGCAATTTGTAAAATTAAATCTGATCCAGAGAACTAAGAATTCTGTAACTTCATTGTAATCTATCACACTGAAGTACCTGCCTCCTTTGGTCTATTGTCACTTGCCTATAGACATATGAATAACTATTTTTTTCTTAGGATATGACAGCAATTGACATAAAATTAATACATTAACCAAGAGTATGAATTTGACAATCTTCAGACACCTGAGATAAGGACTTTTTAAATATAAAATTGAAAACTACATTGTTTTAAAATCTCATCTCTGAAAAAAAAATCCTTATTACTCTTTACCACACACATAAGTAATAAATTCTTATTACTATTAGAAAAATTATACAGCTTTTAAGTAATATTAAGACCTCAATTCCAAACATGTGGGTGTTACCTAATTTTATAAAATAAGCCATTACCTTTGCTCTTAAATCTTCAGAGTGCTTCTCAACTGGACTTCCACGAGAGAGTTAAACTCTAAAGGCCTACGACCTAACACATCCAGGGACTGAATGAGTTACGATATTTTCCCGCATATACCGCACCCACGTAAATAAAACGCACAAGCCTCTAATGAAGCGGATACAAAACTAACCAGTATAGGAAACTAACAGGAAACAAGGTTGGAGGGTCTATAATATGCTGTTTATTTGTGTAAAAATACTATAACTTCTCTCTAATGCAATTATGTAGCTATGTATCATCATCTTGGGGAAACCTAAGAAAACAGATAATCAAATCATTTCCTGTAGGTCAGAATTTTCTCAAGGAACTGGGTATGAGAAAAGCTAGAAGACACGTGATATAAGTCAGACCTTACCTAAATAATAAATATAAAACAAACAGATAAAACCTTCCAAAATAAGGTAACTGAGAATTGGGCCATATACACAATTTTAAAACAAACTTTCCAATTAACGATAAGATCAAGGAATGTATTTTAATAAATGCAGCCATGAATTAATTTTTTTAAGGCTGTAATGTACTCAATGCTGTAACTGAAAATACTTGCTGCATCACAGAAATACTGGTTTTGTTCCCAATATATAACCTGTGGCATAAAATAACCAAGAATCAAGATTTGTGTTTACTACAGAAGCATTCTGAGTCTCTTCCTAAAATCAGTTAAAGGTAATCCTTAACTAACATACAACTATCAGAGACGAGAAAGGTGCCCTAACCAACCTGTATTCACTGTTGAAAACTTGGAACAAGTTCCCTCATCTAGCCTGTGTCTTGAGACAAATATGGAGAAGCCAAGAGGAGTAACAAAACTGCCAGCATTACTGAGTCATGTTTCTGACTAAAACCGCGTTATGAAATGGAAAGAATGACAAGCCCTGGGGTTTATCATCACAGATGTTAACTCCCTGAATTTATGGGTTCTAGATTTTAAAAAGCAAAAAACTGCCTTGTCAGATGATGTGGAAGTAAACAACTCCAGAAAGAACTTGCCAAAGCTGGAAACTCTGATTATTTACCTCAAACAAATCCTAACTGTGCAAACAGGCACACCTTCTAATGACAGCATCACAGCGAGGTGGGGTAAATTCACAACACTAACAAGCTTGACATTTCACGAAGACAGTTAGCCTCAGCCCTCGGTTAACGGAACCGTTCTGCTCCGAGTGGAAGCGAGACCGAGCACTTGTAGGATCCTACCACAAAAATGAAGCAGCAGGGTCACTCCAGGCGCCCTCCTGCCACCGCGGAGACGCCTCCTCCCCGTCCGCCCGCCTCGCTTCCCCAGTAATCAGATCCGAGGAAAACCTGCCCGGGGCTGACTTGTAAGCACAGGTTCCGCAAGCCACGGGATACGGGGGGCCACGACCCAGTTTCTCTCGACTGGAGTGGGAACTGCGGTGAAGCGCAAGGGTCGCCTCCCACACAGCTGCCAGTCCCCGCTGCCCCCGAGGCCGCAGGCTGCCTGGCTCCTATACTCAAGGCTCTCACAGACCTGGAAAGGTGCTTCAGGATCTGTTTCTTGATGAGCCCAGCCATGGTGCCGGGGCGGGAGTCGCCGCGCTCTCTCGCTGTTGCTCACTGCCTTCTCTCTTCGTGGCCGTCTCCTCTTTATCAGGGTTAACAAGGCCGGAGGAGAGGCGCCTGAGCGCTGACGCCCAGGACAGACTCGAGGCCCCGGCCAAGGCCACAGCCGCTGCCGCTGCAGCTGCCGCTGAAGATCCGGAGCATCGCGCTCAAGCCACCGCCGCCGCCGCCAGCGCCATCTTGGCTGCAGCATCACCTAAGAGACCTGGGGGAGGGTAAGGAGGGGGAGGGAAGCGGGTGTGAGAGGGGCGGGGGGTGAAGCGAGGCGGGGCGAACGCAGGCTCCCAGTGGGAGAGGCGGGGCGGGGCGGGGCGAACGGGGTGGGAAGGGATGAGCGCAAGCTCCAGGCACAGTGGGGCGGGGCGAATAAGGCGGGGCGGAGTCAGCACAAGCTCCCAATTTGTTCAGAGGGTATGCACCCTTGATCCTCTCGCTGGGGATTCGGGAAGGAGTCTTCCTCTGCCTTGTTGCTTCTTGAGGTTTCAACCCCCATTTCCAGAACCTTCTTCCTCTGTAGTCCTCCCTCCCCAGCCTCTGGTCTTGTTCCAGCCTCACTCACGGGATGTTCCTTCCACATCCTACTTCTCTTTTTATTTTTCTCAGAAGTTAACTATCTCTTCGTGGATTACTCTGTTTGCTTTGCCCTCTTTAATTGCTCAGGTTTTTTGATAGTCTATCCTCTTTTTTCTCTTTAGCTAAAATATTCTGTTTTTCTCCGGATAAATGTTATCATTAAATATTTCCCCTGGTTATTTGAACTCTGGAGTAAAATTTGGCAAGGCTTTTTAAGCATCTTGTTATTATTATTGCATTTGAGTCTATTCTGACAACCCCACGCCTACAGAGTAGAAGTGCTCTATAGGGTTTTCAAAGCTCTCCAGGGAGCTCCCGGTGGCATAGTGCCTAAGGCATTTGAATGCTGACCAGCCACTTTTCAGAAGGAAGATTGGGCAATCTACTTCCCTAGAGATACCGCCTCAGAAACCCAAGGAGTGGTGGCTATGAGTGGGATCCGACTGGAGGGCATTGAGTGAGTTGAGTTTATAAGGTTTTCAAGGTTGTGACGTTTCAGAAGTAGGTCGCCAGGCCTGACTTGGAGGTGCATTGGAACCGCCATCCTTTAGGTATTGAAAGCTTAACATTTTGAGCCACACCAAAAAAACAAACTCACTGCTTGCCAGTCCATTGTGACTCATAGAGACCCCTCTTTGGTTTTCTGAGGTGGTATCTCTATGGAAATAGATTGCCCAATCTTCCTTCCCAGTCGTGACTTGTGGGTTTGAACCACCAGCCTCTGATTAGCAGTCAAATGCCTAGGCGCTAGGCACCAGAAATACACCTTTCAGCCACACAGGGCCTCTAATGATAGAATCTCTTAGATGTGTGGAGTTATTTTCTACCGCAGCAACCTTATGTACAATACTGCCCCATCCTGTGTCATCCTCACAATCATTTCTATTGAGCTCACTGGTTTTGTTTGTTTGTTTGTTTGTTTTTGTTTTGTGATTTGGGTGAAAATTTACAGAGAAAATTCACTTTCCATACAGCAGCTCACATACACTTTGCCTCATGACATTGACTGCAATTTCCCACAATGCAACAGTTCCCCTCTCCATTCCTCCCCATAGTTACTCTCTTTGCTGTATCCTTCTCTCCCATGCATTCCTGCCCCCTGAGCTGTCTCCCTGTGCATATGTAGCCCTTCTATTCTCCCATGATTGCTCTCTCTAAGGAATGTGTCTACCTAATGGAAATGTTCAGCTCATATACCTGTCTTTTGTTTGGCTGGAATTCCAGACCTGAAGGGCAGCAAAGGGCCACAGTCTCAGTTGTTCCATCAGACCACCGAACCTGATCCCTTTTTTTTTTTTTTAATGATTTTTAGTTTGTTCCACATTGTTCCCCACTCTGTCTACAATAGCTTGCATAGACACCCCTCTAAGTGGTTGATAACAGTAGCTGGGCACCATCTAGTTCTTCTGTCATGTGGGCTGAGGATCACATGATATACTAGTCGCTTGGACTAATTGTTTCCATGCAGCTTAGGTTTTCTTCATTCTTCTTTGTTCTGGACAAGGAGAGACCCAACATTGCATCTAGACGGCCCCTTGAAAGCTTATAAGATCTCAGTTGCTACTTGACAAAGTAGAATGTGGAACAATGTTTTTGTGTTGTATGTTATGTCAATTGAGCTTGATGTCCCCTGCGATTATGGTCCCGAACCTACAGGTCCAACTATTTACTCCCTCTGGGTAGCCAAGATGTGACTACAATCTTGTCCCTTGTTGTGAGCTCACTGTTGCAGTCACTGTCAATCAATCTTGAGTCTTCCTCTTTTTCCGCTGACCCTCTGTATTTTTCCAATCATGATGTATTTCTCCAGGAACTGGTTTCATGTGATAACATATCCAAAGTTGTTTTTCTTGATATGTGCCATCAAGTCAGCTCCAACTCATAGCGACCCTATCCACAACAGAACGAAACTCTGGCCAGTCCTGCGCCAGCCTCACAGTCCTTGCTATACGTGAGCCCATTGTTAGAGCCACTGAGTCAATCCATCTCACTGAAAGTCTTCCCCTTTTTTGCTGACCCTCCACTTTACCAAGCATGATATCCTTCTCCAGGGAATGATCCCTTCTGACAACACGACCAAAGTAAATGAGACAAAGTCTGGCCATTCTCACTTCCAAGAAGCATTCTAGCTGCACTTTTTCCAGGGTAGATTTGTTAGTTCTTCTGGCGGTTCCTGGTACTTTCAATATTCTTTGCCAACACAACAACTCAAAAGCATCAACTCGTCTTTGGTCTTCCTTATTCAGTGTCCAGCTTTCACATGCATATGAGGCTATTGAAAATACCATGGCTTGGGTTAGATGCACTTTAGTCTTCAAAGAGACATCTTTGCTCTTCAGCACTTTAAAGAGGTCTTTTGAAGCCAATTTGCCCAGTACAATACATTATCTGATTTCTTGACTGCTGCTTCAATTGGTGTTGATGGTGGAAACAAGTAATATGAAATCTTTGACAACTTCAATCTTTTCTCCATTTATCGTGATGCTGCTTATTGGTCCAGTTGTAGGGATTTTTGTTTTCTTTATATTGAGGTGTAATCCATACTGCAGACTTTATCCTGAGGTGTAATCCATACTCCCTTAATCTTCATTATAAGTGCTTCAAGTCAGCTTTACTTTCAGCAAGCAAGGTTGCTGTATATTGCACATTGTTAATGAGTCTTCCTCCAATCCTGATGCCATGTTCTTCTTCATATAGTCTATCTTCTTGTAATATTTACTCAGCATACAGATTGAATAAGTATGGTGAAAGGATAGAACCCTGATGTACACCCTTCCTGATTTTAAACCATGCAGTATCCCTTTGTTCTGTTTGAACAACAGCTTCTTTGTCTATGTGCAGGTTCCTCATGGGCACAATCAAGTGTTCTAGAATTCTCATTCTGAATATTATCCATAATTTGTTATGATCCACACAATACACAAATACTTTTGCATAACAAATAAAACACAAGTAAACATCTTTCTGGTATCTGCTTTCAGCCAAGATTAATATGACATCAGCAATGATATCTCTCATTCCACGTCCTCTTCTGAATCCAGCTTGCATTTCTGGAAGTTCCCTGTCAATATACTGCTACAATAGTTTCTGAATTATCATCAGCAAGATTTTACTTGTGTGTGATGTTAATATTGTTCAATAATTTCCACATTCTGTTGGATCACTTTTCTTTGGAATGGGTACAAATATGGATCTCTTCCAGTCAGTTGACCAGATAGCTGTCTTCCAAAGTTCTTGGCATGGATGACTAAGTGCCTCCAGCGTGGCATCCTTTGTTGAAACATCTCAGTAGGTGTTCGGTTAATTCCTGGAGGCTTTTTTTTTTTTTTTTTTTTTGCCAATTCCTTCAGTGCAGCTTTGACTTCTTCCTTCAAAAGCATTGGTGCTTGATCATATGCCACCTCCTGAAATAGACTAATTCTTTTTGATACAGTAACTCTGTGTATTACTTCCATCTTCTTTTGATGTTTCCTGCATCATTCAATGTTTTGCCCATAGAATCTTCTAATATTGTAAATTGAGGCTTGAGTTTTTTCTTCAGTTCTTTCAGCTTCGGAAATGCCAAGTGTGTTCTTCCCTTTTAGTTTTCTAACTCCAGGTCTTTGCACATTTCAATATACTAATTAACTTTGTCTTTTCAAGCTGCTCTTTGAAATCTTCTGTTCAGCTTTTTTATCTTGTCATTTCTTCCATTTGCTTTAGCTACTTTCCCATTCAAGAGCAAGTTTCAGAGTCTCTTCTGACATCCATTTTGGTTTTTTTTTTTTTTTTCTGACTTTTTGATCACTTTTTGCTTTCTTCATGTGTAATGTTCTTGATATTATCCCACAATTCATCTGGTTTTTGGTCATTGGTGTTTGATGCATCAAATCTATTCTTCAGATGATCTCTAAATTCAGGTGGGATATAATCAAGGTCATATTTTGGCTCTCATGGATTTGTTTAATTGTCTTTAGCTTCAACTTGAACTTACATATGAGCAGTTGATGGTCTGTTCCACAGTCAGCTCTTGGCCCTGTTTTTTTATTTTTATTTTTGAAGTGTTTCCTCCCCTCTTATCCCAACCTGATAACAAAGAAAGCTTCCTTCCATATATAAAACTTTCTTTATCTTTTTACAATAATGAACTAATACAGTATCTGTCCTCCCGTAATTGATTTATTTCACTCAGCATAATGTACTCCAAGTTTATTCATGTTATGTGGTGTTTTGCAGATTCTACATTGGTTTTTTGGGTTGCATAGTATTCCATTGTGTGTATGTACCATAGTTTAGTTATCCACTCTTCTGTTGATGGGCACCTTGGTTGTTTCCATCTTTTTGCTATTGTAAATAGTGTTGTGATGAACATCGGTGTTCTTGTCCTGGCTCTCACTTCTTTAGGATATATACCTAGTAATGGAATGCTGGATCAAATGGTATTTCTAATTCCAACTTTTTAAGGAATTGCCATACTGCTTTCCACAGTGGTTGTATCATTTTAGAGTCCCACCAGCAGTGTATGAGAGTCCCAATCTCTCCACATCCCCACCAGCATTCATTATTTTCTTTTTGTTGAGCTTTGCTATTAGTGCTGGGGCCAGATGGTATTTCATTGTTTTGGTTTGCATTTCTCTAACAGCTA